CAGCTCCCAGCCCAGGGCTCCGGGTCTGCCTCTTAAATTCTACCTCTTGCAGACAGAAGATGGTGTTCTACGATTCCAGCGAGGAAGTGGACAAGGAGTCCCCAGATGCTGACCCTTGGCTTCCTGCCTGGACCCCAGAGGGCAGCCCCCATGGTGACTGGATCTGTCTGTCCTCCCTGTAGGCTAGTGTGGGGGCCTTCCTTGGTCGTTTCCTCCTGAGGCTTACTGGCGGGGAGGAGACCAGGACTGCTGCTGCGGGCAGGGCCACGTAAGCTTACCTGCTATCACTGAGCCATCGGTTGCTACGGCAGACATTAGTAATCAACCATCATTCTTTCTGTTGAGCCCCGAGACTGCCTCAGAATCTTTCTTAACACAGAGCTCCGGGGAGCTACAATCAATCTATCATATTTGGCACACCAGATATTGATGGTTTTGGATTTGGCCATCCACAGCATCATGCCGGGCATCTTGTCTCTTAATTTCCTCTCCCAAGCGCTCCAAATGAGCAATTGACAGAGTCACCTTTCCCAGTGCCCAGCACCACCTCCTCAAAGCCATCTGCTGTGTCGGGGCTGACACACCCTCAAGCCTGATGTTTCCTTTTCAGGGAGCTCGCTGGCCTTGGGGCCTCCCCAGGTTAACAGCTGGGCTGTGACAGGCCACCCGAGTGAGATCCTCGGGCTCAGCCCCTCCCTCTTCAGCTCCCCAGGAAACACGCTGCCAGAACAGATCCTGGAGGACGGTACTGAGTACCTGGTGCAAGGTGAGAGCCCAGGGCTAGATCTGACGCTTGGTTCATTCAGAAAACATTCGGTGAGGGCCGCCTGGGTGGCTCAGCTGGTGAGGTGTCTGACTTTTGATCTCAGCTCAGGTCTTGATCTCAGGGTTGGGAGTTCAGGCCCCACATTGGGCTCCACACTGGGTGGCGAAGCCTACTTGAAAGAAAAAAAAGAAAGAAAGAAAACATACGGTGATGCCCACCCAGTGTGCTGCCCTGTGCTCGGCAGAACTGGGTCCCCAGGGGTGAATCCCACCCAGGCCCTGCCTCGGGAAGCCCACAGCCTCGTGGGGAAGCAGCCCAGGCCAGTGTGGTGAGGAGAAGGCTCCAGGAGCCTGCGGTGGGGACCCACTCACTCGCCTCAGGTTGGGGGTGCCCCAGGGGAGCTGGCCTGTGAGCTGGATTCGGACCTGGGACGGGAGATCCCAGAACAGAAATCTAGACAAGGGCGCTGAGGCTCTCCGGCCGGCCCTGCGAGGGAGGCATTTCCATTCCAGCCCCCGCCCTGGTCTCCCTCCCTGACAGGTCTCTTTGAAGAAGTGTTCCTAGATCCTGAGTCTCCACTCCCCGATGACTTGCTTGAGGTGCCACAGAACAAGGTAGGCATCTGTCCGCAGACACATCCATCCTTCTTTCCGCACGTGTCACTCACCTGTTTCGTTTACTCCTCCGTCTCCTCTACCGTTAAGCCGCCTTCCC